TTTAGAGTTTTAGTATGTAGTTATATATAGTTATTATTATTATTATTATTATTATTATTATTATTATTATTGGATAAAACCATGCATCGTTGTTTGTATCTTTTAAAACAAATATTTTATGTATTTATATGTTAAATTTCTGATTTTATTCGTTGATTATCATATATTATTTTTTTTATTTTAGAATAAATTGTGAATTTCCTCTCCTTCGTTATACATTTAGTTAAAATTTCTTAGGTCAAAAGATAATACGAAGTATTTTATATTTAATTAATTTAAACTCTAAAATGTCATTCGCCAATTTTGCTTGTATGACATTTAAATTATTTAATTCTAAAAGAATTACAAATCCTACATGGCGCGCGATCTAATAATTTGTAAAAAATTATAATCCTATGTAGTACGTTAAAAAAATTACTTCGTATAATTCTACGTGGCGCTTTTTAAAAATTAAAATCCTAACCCGTTGAAAAATTAAAATCCTCTGTGGTACTCTAAAATCTCAGGAAAAAACTCCCCTTTATATATGTACTTAGTTTTGTGCCCAACCGATGTCCGGATTGTTGATAAATTTTTAGGATAAACTTTTTGGCTTCAATATTACTTTTACAGATTCTTTATTATTTTTTAAATAAATTATAAATGATCTTGTTTTTTTTTTGGTGTTTAGAGAACCACAAGGGCGAGTGATGAGAATCGATCTCATGATCACTTGGAGTCGGGAGGGGGGCTCTAACCACTTGAGCTATCCCTCACTCTCTATAAATGATCCTATTTTAAATTAAAGAATTTTTAAAAACGAATTTTATGTTGAAAAAGTTACGTCCTCGAAACTTGATATCTCATAACTTACGGTCACTATAACCAATAATACCTCAAAAAATCAACTTACTTCCTTTGATTAGTCAAACCCTCTTAACTTAACATCTAATAACCTAACCGATACTTAAAACCTCAAATCAATTCAGATCATATCCCAAAGTTCTTAACTTCAAAATATTTTCATAATTTCAAAGATTATCTTCCATATTTCAAGGATACTCTTCCACGTCCCAGAGATTATAACCTCAAATTATTTCCATTTCTCAAAGATACTCTTCTATGTAACAAAGATTATCTTCCATGTCCCAAATATCATACTCTGGCGGTGCAAGTCTAAGACCCGCACTTCCGGCAGAGTTCTGCTCTGATACCAAACTATAACACCCCGACTTCTCGTAACCTTAATTGGCGTTACCAATCCATACTTAACTCGTCATTCGCAGCGAAAATTAATTATAAATAATCTCATTATAACCTGTGGGTTATGGACCCACAAATAAACATACTCCGTATTCAGAAATATTCCTGTAAAATAATACAACTTCCAGGTTATAAAACTTCCAGAAGTAAAAACAATCTATCTCTTGATAATACGTTATCCATAATACATAACCCTTGATTCTGTAATTCCTCAACAGTATAAACTCTTTTAATCACTTTGTCTTCGACTAACTCAAGCTTCATCATCATCATTCTTGTAAATATCCATAAAAATAGAAAACACAGAAAAATTCCAAAAATTAGTGGAAAACTCAGTAACATTACTCTAGCCCATAAAACAGTTTTTCTTTGAAAATCATTTGAATACATATCATACACACATAGTTGTCCATAAATAATCTATTGTAATTATATTTAAAGTTGTGTCGACAAGGATCATTCCCTTTACATAAGACCATAGGTAAGTACAGGTTTTGGACATAACATAATTTTCATTCATGTGGGAATGTTTTCCCATTTCATTAACATACTTTCCTCCACCTGTAACTCACCCATTTACTTTGTTCAGTTCATTTTCCAATGCCAACAAAAGTAACATCTATCGTATCATATTGAATCATTTGAGATTAACTTTATACCTCATATAAGTTCATAGCACATTGGCACATTTCATAATCATTCATTCATAAGATTTTAATAAAATCATCATAATCAATAAACATTAAACATTTAACAGAGGTAGGACGTTTCCTACTATCAAGGGGAGCCGGTGCTCCTTACATACCAAGAGAAGCAAGTGCTTCCTACAGGGGGAGCCAATGCTCCATATTAGGAATGGGCTTGTACCAGTAAGGGAGTCATTGCTCAATCATAACAGATCAATTTTACATATCTTATAAATTAACAGAATAACAAGAACAACAGTCATTCATATGATTGAAATACATCAATAAACATATTCATCATCTCCCAATTCATTAATATATATATCCAAAGATATAAATAGCATCTCAATGTGACAATCATACTTTCATAGATACATTTTGAAGGGGATGCATATACTAGCAATAGCATTAGTCAATAAATATGATTTCATACCAGGTCACGTTTACGTTTATTTGAAAGGGATCATATAACATGTCTTTTGCACATAACATGCTTTTAAATTATAAAATGCCAAACATATTATACGAGCATACATGTAACACAATAATAGGCCACTAAAATTACACACGTGCACTCATAATTACCAAACATAATTGTCACACATACGGGACTAAACACGATTGCTAGACATAATAGTTACCTCATTCGAACATCATTAATCATGCATCTCACTTATTCTCCAATAGTCATCATTCGAACTCTCAACCTCCGTCATTAGTTCCTAATTGCCATGACTCTTAATCATACCCCAATAATAATAAATACTCATTAGTAACTTCTCAATTCAAAACCTTTGATAAAACAAGTATAAATTTATTTTTTATTGAATAAAACAAGTATTAGCTCATTTAGAGTGAAATGAGCATTACTTTGGAAATAGATACTACCACTATTCATATTAGTGGAGAAAAGATTAAAACTATAAATACTTTCATTAAAATATATCTTGAACACTTATTAGTAAAACAACCAAACTTAGGCTCTGTTCTTTTGAGATGCTCTGCTGTGCCCTGCCTGCTGAAATCTGCCCTGCTCTACTTAAAAATAATAATTAATATTTAATAAAAATAATAATAATTATTATTAATATTTAAATATAATAATAAATAAATAACGATAATAATAATTGAATAATAATATTAATAATAATATTAAAAATAATAATAATATTAAAAATAATAATAATAATAATAATAAAGCAATAATAATATTAATAATAATAATAATTAAAATAATAATAATGATATTAAAAATAATAATAATATTAAAAATAATAATAGTAATAATAATAATAATAACAACAACAACAACAACAACAATAATAATAATAATGTGATAATAATAATAATAATGCAATAATAATAATAATAATAATAATAAAATTTGTTCTGTCCTGCTGAAATCTGTTATGTTCTGCTCCGCCCTACTCTTCCTAGAAGCTCAAAAGAACAGGGCCTTATTTGCTTAAGGAAATCTATAATACGAAGTACTTGCCATTAGATTTTTGCTTTTATAAAACAAGTACCACACAATCATAATTAAATAATAAAGAAGTTAAGTGATATCAAATTAAAGAATACATACATATACACATATATTTAAATCAAATCTTTTTACAAATCATAAATCATAAACAATTGCAACTTACTTTGGGCTTAGTATTATACGAAGGCAAATAGTCTCAATGGGTCTTAAAAGATCATTTCCATTGGTTTTGACAAGAACATAGTCATGAAAGGAGAAGAGGCTAGGAAAAATATAGTATATGCTTTACGGCGACGAGGTTGATCAACTGTGAAGGGGTGAGGCAGCAGAGGACGTTTTCAAGCGATGGAGATGTTGGCTTGGAGTCCATGCTTAACCGTGAAGAATAGGAACCAAATGAAGAGGCAGATTTCGTCCTTTTGTGTAAGCAAGGGCAAATTTTTCATTTCACTCCCTCTCCCGTAAAAATACAAATTTTGATGCAAATCTTTCAATATTTAACGGAACATAAAATTATCATTTGACCCGAAATAAATTTTAAATTGATAAACACTTTTCTCCGTAAAATTAGCTTCCGAAATAATATAATCATATAATAAAATTAAGACTAAAACATTCGTACTTGTTAAAATAGAGATTAAAATTTAATTAAGCTCATAATATAGATTAGATTATAATAAATCATATTTTAAAATCTCGGGTATTACATCAAAGTTATGATTAATTTTGTATATATAAAACATTAGAACTATATCGATAATAAAATTCTATACATACAACAATTTTATCTTACAAAATTTTTAATGGAATCTTGACTAGCACCCAAACTGAAACAACACTGTTTCCTAGTCATTATGAAACTAGAGGTGTCAATTCGAGTATAGTGAAGTCGGGTCGAAATTAATTAAAATTTGAGTTGTGATAAATTATTGTTTTTCATACAAATCAAATTTTATTCGGATTGGTTTTTAACACCTCACCTTTATGCGAAACCCTAATCATATCATAAGTCATAACCCTAATCATATCATATGTCATAACCCTAATCATATGTCCTTATATATACCGTACCCCTCACAAAGCTTATAAGTATTTTTCATAGGTTGAATATTGGTTGCTGTTATAGTTGGCATCTCTCTAGTGGTAGGAGTTATTGCAGCCATCATATCTTTCATAACTCATGTAGTTTTCGATCAATATATTAGATAGAAACCATCAATAATGTTTTCGTTTGTTTTGATTTTACATTCAGTATTGAATATCTATGATATTCTTTATAACCCAATGCTTGTTTCTGAATGTTTTATAGGTTGCCATTAAATTGATTTGACCTCCGTTGTAGAAAAGTGCTTACGTTTTGTTGCCGAGTTTTCTTGTGTATAGAATACTCTTTGTTTTTATCTATGTTTGAATACCTGATCACTTCTATATACGAAGTAATGATGTGTGCAAAACTTTACATAAATCAAACCAACTTATTATGGCTATACGAACATTTTGGTGGGTTGGATTGTGGGTTGCAATGGTGCTGAAATTTGTATTGGAGGCATGAAGAAAATAAAATACAGAGGGTTGTGAGAATCATGTACTGTAAACTTTGCAGTCCCCCTCAATGTATTTTGCTCAATTCTCATTTTACAATCGACTTTCATAGTCTCTAATGATTCCCTCTATTTAAAGGATCAATAGATTTTGTAAAAAAAAAAAATCAAAAGATTCAAATAAAATATGCCCACAAAAATCACTTCTACAACTGTATTATAGTCCAAGAAATTCAATTATTTATTAACTAGAACTAGTATTTAAAGTTATAGCACTTCAAAAAAAAAAAAAAAAAAAAAGGTGGTGAGTATTCCTAACCGAACCACCCTTATTTACAGCACCAGAACAGAGCTTAAACTTAAGCATTGGCTTGCACTCGTTTCTTAGAATTATTCTTGCGCCGAACCTTCACCAAAGCTGTATCCAGTTCCTGAACACATTGATACAAGAGGAATTCAATACAATATTGTGATACATCGCCCAGCTTCTAAGGAAGACCGTACACTCAAACAACAGTACCTCGTGTACAGCATGGACAATGTTCAGCCAGTACCATAACTAAGATTGTAGATCCCCAAATGCTCAATATACTAAAAGATTAGCATGTGCAGGTTCATTTTGTTGCAGGTTGCCCACAAGAAAATATCCAAATTGAAATATTTCATCAATTACTTGGCAACTAGATATTCATCCAGCTTCTCTAATTTATCTACTGATAACAATGCAAATTTGTAATCACAGAATCCTCCCCACCCCCCACGGTGGCCCCACCCCAACCCCCACACACACGTGTTAAAGAAAAAAAAAAAAAAAAAGCCTTTTACCCTACAAGCCTTTTTTCACAGCAGTTACCATTAGTTAAACCAGTTGAAAATAATTGAAACTATCAACCACGGTCATCTCTATAGAGAAAGAATGTAAACCTGGCTTGATTCAGCTGGTGGCTTCTCCTTTGCCCAACGACTTTCCAAATCATAATAAGCTCTGGCTTTCTCATCTAATGCATGAACAATCACTGAACCTGTAATGGTAAAAGCAATACGAAAAAAATAAAGTTTTTTCTGATATAAGGGCTAATAAAGAAATAATAAGAAAATTCCGAAAAAATAATGTTAATAAAATTAAGCAACCGAAAAAATAAAGTTAATAAAAGAAAAAATATAAGGGCTAAATAAAGTTAATAAAATTCCATTAAAAAAAGAAATAATAGAAAATTCCATTCCCTACAAAGTTGCTTAATCTCTATTAGGCTGCATCATATATTCAAATCTATGGTTTGGCTTTGGAAAGTTGGCTTTCTACTTAACAAGTCTCCATTCTAATGAAAAGCTTCAAATGTTGGGCCACAAAAAGACAACAAGAAGTTAGCTATATGTGGTTCCATGTGCAAGATAGTTGGCTGGGGCAAACATAAAGTTTTAATGCCAAAGAAACAACTATCATAATAATCTGCCAGGATTCTAAGTGGTGCTAAAGCTCTGAAAAAAAAACTTAACAGCCTATTGAGAGAATATTCAAATATTCAAATGTAATTCTCCCTCCCACTTAAGTATTAGAAGATGTTGGTTCTAGGGTCAGGGAAACATAAAGAGTTCGGAAAAATGGTTAGCAGATATGGTCAGATCACAGATGTACATCAATGGGGAATAAGCTTTATAACAATAATCATAAAATACAATGGCAAAAGAAAACATTCTAAACAACAGGAATACAAAGATGAAAGGTAGACAAAACAAATCAACCAAAAAAAAAATAAGTTCTGTGATCTTCATAACCACGTGACGACTAAACAACCCCTTCATCTGCTAGGAGATAGTTCAGAGTGTCATTTCAACAGTAATAAGCAATGGCATAATGCATGTCCCTATTACCTATATTTAGAGTCCCTATTACCTATATTTAGATGTTTAAAGTTGAATGAAGCCCTCAAAAGAACTACACGATCAATCTCAATCCTGCCCTTAGCATAAGGATTGAGTGCGAGAGAAGTGACATGACAACTACATTAGATCCAAGAATAAAGTAGATCCAAGGCCAGCCAATAATTGAAGGTTTTTGAATTGATCATAAAGGTCAATTATATCAATAGTTCTATGAAGTTTTAGCCTTCCGCAACCCAATTTTCTATTAGTAAGTCATATGGAAATGAGATCTTTAGAATAATGCTTTGAGAAGGCTTGAGAGGTCTGCCTGAACTTAGTTGAAGTTGGTGACTTGGTGTTAGAGCTGGCAATCTCTAACACGAGCTCTAACAAGACACAACCGAAAACGGCACGACACAAACATGAAATTACCGAGAGAAAACACGAAGTTGACAAGACACAGAACCAACCTAAACACGACCCGTTTTGACAAATTGGTCAAATTATGCATTGGTCCTACATTTTACAAATTTTTGATAGATTTTGTGAACATAATATGAACACGAGATCAAACACAAACACAACACGCCTTTTTGCCAGCTCTACTTGGTATCACTAATGAGATGGCCAAGCAATTATTTCATACAGCCATAATGCAAGTAACGAGTGACAATCATAATAGGTCAGACAAAAAAAGCAATTACTAAGATGGACAAGCAGGAACTAATACACATTGATACAGATCACAATGAACATAAAACAATTCTTTGCACATCAAGCACAGATTTATTTCCATAACTGAAGCTTGAAGGATTGATTGCTATATGAAAATAATAGCAAAACTGTCAGCATTTTTTCATATCCTAATACCCTTGAAAATATCATATTAAAGTTCATAGCAATGCAGACATATCAGTGAGACATATTGGATAAGAGCCTCTGCAGAGAAAGAAAACAAACCAGAATCGACAACAATCCAATTGCCGCTTTCTTCTCCTTCCACACTTGGCAACAACATCCTCTTTGCTTCTTTCTGCTTCTGCTTAGCCTATAACAGTTATTGCAGTGTAAACATCACTCAACATACTGTAAAAGGTATGGATGTTGTTTATAATATTATTTGCATATCACATGGTCTATGCACGAAGCAGCTAAAAACTCCACAGAGGCACAGAGATAACAAAACTAATGAGGGACAAAGAAAGCAGATAGCCCTGGCAACAACAATGGTGATGACTGATAAGTGATAACTCGAAAGAGCTGAGACACAATCCACCACGATGACAGTTTGACGACACGCTATTATCAGGTCTATCACTCAGATCAGAAACAGTAAGCAGTAACGTGCTGAAAGATGGTTCTTTTATATTACTGCCCATACTTACCTTGCACGACATATATGTGTATAGAGTTATCTGGAAGGTCTGCAGACTGCAGGATGCATTAAGGGCACCTCGAACATGGATTTAACATCCTCATAAATCCAAGCTTGGGATTTGAAAAAGTCTTTTTAGCTTAACAATCTCATGATTTCTATCAAACTATCTCTAGTTTTCTACTTAAGAGAAACAAGCTCAGCCCACAATTTAATGCTTTCTTTTATTTCATTTCTTTCTTCCCTCCTTTCATCTTATTCTGATCATTAAAATGTTTAGTTTGTAGGTCTCCTTAAGGTCTCACTATTACAAGTTACAACACATTGTTCTAAATCTTGAGTCATAATGAGGTGGCGCGTAAAAAGATTTCTCCACAACCAACAAGTATCTCTCTTAAAGTTGCTCTAAGAGAGCAACTTATACAACTAATCACTAATCAGCTATGAGGCGGTACCTCAGTTGTGCAATACTTACAATATAATTAAGGATCATTATGTAACTCCTATAGTTTCCATGATAGAAGTCATGAACCATAGCTTTACATATATCCTTTGCAAAGTATCCACCTTTTTATATCCACATTTACACAGAATCATATTTCTGCTAACTGTATATCTCATTACAGACTTACAGTAAGCTACTCATGTGACAACAATCCGTATGACGAAAACAATCCGTATGATTCCAAATAATTATTAAACATGTAAATCTCCACAAACATTTGCAATGATAAGATAATTATTTGTCAGGGTTATAATTCAAAACTCCCAATTTCAACATGCTTACTTTTTCGCAATTATAATCAATTCAACATATCAGACATAGATTGATACACAGCAACAAGTATGAATATATTGCGAAATCAATCAAAAAAATCATACACCATTGTTTATATTAATCAAATTAATAGCCCCACAAAGCCACAATGCAGCAAAATTCAATTCATTGCAGATAAAACTTCAACAACACAAAATCCTAATTTCTGAACAAAGAAAGAAATTAGGGAGAAACAGACAACCTGCCTTGTAAACTAGAGCTTGAGCAATATTACGAACATGCCAAGAAGATCTTCCAGTAGCGAAAACCATGTAATCGGTCAAATCGCATTGATCACCGACTCGAATAACCTTGATATCATCTGCCCTAACTTCAGAGAGAACTTTCTCGATTTCATCAAGCTTCAGAATCTCAGTTCTACCGTCTTTGTCGCGCGTAAGAGAGGAAAATGGGCTACTCTGATTGAGCTTCCATAGCCATGGCTGCCGAATAGAAGGAGAAGAGAGAGAATGAGCTCGAGATCGAAGAGCAGACAGCATTTTCAGGAGAGAGAGGAGTTTTGCTGGGATTTTGAGGTGGTTGGATGTAAAACCCTATAAAAACCCTTTCTAAAATTGAGGGGTCAAAACTGACCCGACCTAATCCGATCTGACTCGTAAAAAAAAACTGATTCCCTGCCTTATTATACTTCCTCTGTTTTTTGTAAAGTGTCTCCTACTCTTAACCTCTTAGAGTCTTAGGCACATAGTGTTTGGTAAAAGAATAAAATACGAGTAATATGTAAGTGAGTATGGTTAGCAATAAAAAAAATTTGGAAAAGTAAGACAGAGAAATATAAATGAGGACCATTAGGAATAATGTGACAAGAGAAAATATTATAAAATGATAGTGGGGCTAAAAGGAAGAGAGGGAAATAATATACTCCCTCCGTTTTTTTATTAGCTAGAGTTGAAATTTTACACTATTTATATGTTAAAAATTTTAACAAAACTCTTATGAATAGTGCATGTATATTTATATAGCTAAAAATGTTTTTTTTTTCACATATTTGCACTCATTTGATGTCAAAAACCTTAAAATTGTCTCTCGAATCCCATAAATTGATTAATACTTTGTAAATAAAAAGTCATCTTTTACTCTCTTCATTTTTTTTTTGTTTTTCCTATTTGGAATTTAAACGCTATTTAATACAAAGAATTTTAAATTAATACACCCGACCTGACCTTATTAAACTCGATCCGGATACCTGAAATGACACCTCTATCTACTACTACTATAATGAGGTTGCTCCAATTACACAATTTGAGTAACATTTCCCATCTCAAATGACAATTTTGCAATATTGGGTAACTTTATGAATTTTTAATTGCCTTTATTTGATGATTAGTAACTTTTTATTTAAGTAAATGGTATTGCCGTTGTAGTGACGTAAATCCCACATTTGGATTGTTCTCTCCCTCCTCTTCCCACAAGAAACTCCATTTAAGGATTGAGCTCGATATTTTGTCAACCTACATCTTCTTCATCTTCACTGTACCCATCTTCCACTGACACCACCGTTTTCGACACCTTTTATCTTCACCGACGTGTCCACCCTAATTTCCGACGGCAAAGTAAACGGAAACCTTAAGAACAAAAGGAGAAATAAAGGGCATGGTCAATCCCGGTGTTAAGTTTCTCCATTAAAGCAACCCTTGAGCTTCTGAAATCTCCATTAAAGAAGCTCTTTAAATTTTAGTCGTTATTCACGAAAGCCAGTTATTGTTTATAAGGAGTATTACAAATTAGCCCACTTACCTACTCAAAATTAATATAATGCCACCTTGAGAAATTTGTATTTTCTCCTACTATAATGAGTTTTATTACAAAAAGGGGGATCGTGAATTAGAAATGGAGTGATTAATTTCGAGTTGTCAGTATCATATATACTCGTGTTAGATTGTGCCCTTTTTGGTCTTGAGCAAGTTTGGGTAAATCATTGTCTTTTTGAAATTTCCTCTTATGTACTATGGATAGAGGTGTTAAAAACCGACTCGATACCGACCCAAAAAAACTAAATTTAAATTTTGACAAATCTAGGCACAATAATCTAGCATCTCAAATTTAAAATTGACCCGATCTCACCGAACTCGACTCGGACACCCAAACTGACACTCTGCTCTCGAATACTTTTTCTATGAATTAATATAGCTTAGCACTAATCTTTCCCAAATTAAATTTTTAACAAAGAATTTAATAATTCATGGAAATATAAATCTAAGACACTTAAGTAAAATATGTAACATCAATTTTTACCATCTTTATCTCATTGTATTACAATCTACTACATGTGTATTTATCAACAAGTATTACAATCTAAGACACTTGAATTTCAAGACGAAGTTTGTCAAAAAAAGAAAAAAAAGATGACATTTTATTTTAAAGATGATACACTTTAGTTTTAATTGTACTATTTGTAATATTGGAGCTAGTAAAGTTCCTTTGAGTAAATTGAAAAACTTATTCCGGTAACTAAGCTCATGTAAAAAATAAAAAAAACAATTATGTGATCGCAAAATACATTGTCAATTCTATTTCTTGTCTAAAATAGGATAAAGCATACTTACATGCACGGCTATATTATTCACTATTGAAAACACTATATGTGGATTTAAAATCTTAAAAAATGATATTTGAATTGTAACATGAATTATCATTTACATCATTATTATTTTTAATTTCATTTGTGCTCTCTTTACACAATGTAAATTACAAGTATATATTTACAATAATAATGATAATCAGACCGTACAATAATTGTTTGATATTCTTGAATTCTTGATACATTATCTTTTATTATCTAATCAAATTATAGTATTGTATTTAGTTGAATATAGAATTCGTACGAATTACTCAATTAATTATAGCTACTTGTAGGAATTGAGTATTATTAGATATATATTTTCCTCTTTATACAATCATGGATGCTTCTGCAATTTTTGGATTGATTAGATGATATTATTCCAACAAACAATATATCAGGCGAATAGCGATTTTGCAATATTATTAAATTGGATAATTATGGTCGCAAATAATAAATGTTAAACCAACAAAATTAAATTATATTAATTCCTGTAAGAGGCGATCTTTCATTTATTTTATTAAAAGACGGTAAATTTGAGGGTAATTTCAATAATTTTTATGGCAACTTTAACCTTGTTAATGATAACTTTTAATTTATAATGAGTGATTGTATTTTAATGTATACTAGGTTAAATCTCGTGCAATGCACGGTTGTTAAATACTTTTGAAAATAATATTATAAAAATTATATAAATAGAATGACTTGAGTATTAAATATATGGTGTATATTAAAAATAAAAAGAAGTAAGCGAAAATATATAAATTACATGTAACGGTACAATTTAATATTTTTTGAAAGGAATTATATTTTATATAAAACAAATGTCACAATTTAGATACAATTTTTTTCCATAAGTAACAATGATTTATTTTAAGAAGGTACTTTTAGAGGGAAATTTTTTAATGCAATATTGACAAGTGTCTTTTTAGTAATTGATTGATTTTTTAATTGATACGGAGTACATGTTATATAGGCTAATATAAATTATCTAATATATTATTAGTATATGGGGTAAAATTAATGTTAAAGGTAACTTTTATGATATATAAGTAAAGAGTAACTTTAAATACTTTTAGGCCTTTAGGGTATCTTTAACCCTTTCCAAAGTCTGCCTTATTCAAGAATTTGTGTGGTACTACACTTTTCCTATACATCAGTGTTGATCACATAGAAATTTGAAGTATAGTATATGGAGTATCAACCAAGTGTTGGAATAAAGGAAGAAAATGGAATGTTGACCTTGGCACATCTGCCCGATTGGCCGCCCGATTGAGCGAGGTCTGCCCGATTGGGTCGCCCACAGGGCACGAGAGTAAGCGAATTTTGAGCTGGAAGTTCGCCTGATTGGGCTAGCTCCGCCCGACTGAGCCCGCAAGCAAGTTTTCGAAAATTGTCCCGATCGCCCAATCGGGCGCGTATACGTGCCTTGTGACCGTTGGAGCTCCATCTCTTTCTCTTCCTCTTCTCTTTTGTAACCTTGTCTTAACTCCCAATTAATGGGATGTTTTAAGAGGTTGTTAACTCACCTTAATTTCTGGTTAAGACTTTGTCCTTTTTGATTCTTCAACTCTTGGATATCGCATCTTCCATTATATATTTTATTTCATGGTTGATAAAATCGTACTCCCTCCATTTTTAAATACTTGCTCCACTTTTTATTTTCGGCCGTTTTTAAATACTAGCTTCATTTCCTTATTTGGAAAGTTTTTACAATACTTAATTCATCTATCTCAACTAGTGAACCCAACATAAATAATATTTTATTAATTTTATATTCTCTCTTCTCCAATTCTCTTAACTAGTTTTGCTTTTTGCAATTTTTTATTCTTCCACCTACCCCATTACCTTCATATTTTATTATTTTCTCCAATTTCTCCTAAAACTCCGCACATGGAGAAATGAAGCAAGTATTTAAAAACGGAGGGAGTATATAACAATCATCAAACATATTAAGCTAAACACTTTCTTCTCTTTGGACATAAGTTTATATGATTCCAACCTCTCACCCAAAAGCGTCTTTGTGTGAGAGTGGTGTGTGAACCTTAGGGAACGCGCTGGCGAATACAATTGAGCACCACGGTTACGTCGGAATTTCGTTTTCAAGTCAGTGATTTGTATCACGACACACCGTCTTTTGATTTTTTTTTTTTGGGTAGCCTTGAAATACTTCCTATTTTACAACACCAGGTAAATATATTATACTTCATATTTAATCTATAGTAGTCAAAATATCCAATAATTAATAAGATATATATATATATATATATATTTTTTACAAGAATAAGGATATGTGTTTGTGTTTAAGAAATATGACATAATAATTTAAACTATCTGAACTTATTGAACTTGAGTACTTGACTGAAACTTATTAGAAACCTTTTAGCCATTAAAATTTTTATTATTATTACAATAATTGCAAAAACTACTCCATTAATTTCTATAAATTTTATGTTAACTTTCCCTCCATTTTTTTTTTATTTTTTATTTAATGTACACTAGGGTGGTAACGCGCGCTAGTTATATATGTTCGGGGAGCTTTTTCGATTGTTGATTACATTAGTGAAGGAAAATATGTAAACAAATATTTTAGGGGTGTAAATGTCCTCGTACTATTCTAAATAAGTTTTCAAAAAAGGCTATTAACAATAATGAAGGAAAAAAAAATAATAAAATAAAATAAAAAATAAAAAAATTAACGTAACATTAATGAAGGCAAACTAAGAACTTACATATTAATGAGGGTAAACATGTAAATGCACATTTTGAAGGATATAATTGACAGCACACTATTCATAAGAGTAGGGATTAGTATCTTTGTACGTATTACAATACATTTGTACTTTTTATAAGGTAGGGATTAGTATCTTTGTACGTATTACAATACATTTTTTTTTACTAATCTCTTAATCCATATTAAAATAATTTACAACAAATGCCAACTAATCACTACTTACTATTGTTA